CATTAATATTGTACTAGGTTTCACACCTTAAACATCACAAATATCAAACACTTAGGCATGCAAAACTTAAAAGCAATATATAGAAATAAAGACATAACATATAAACGCAAGTGTTCTCATAAAGATGTAGAGATACTTTATTAAGTTTATTCTTCAGCAAAAGGTACCTTACCAGATAAGAAAGACATAACAGATCCATTATTTCTTCTTGATGTATAAACATTACTTCCTACACATAAACTTCAACTTTCAACTTCAAACTCATTAAAAGATTAAGCAATTTAAGTTTAGAAACTGCACTAACTCTTCCTCACTGCAAAAACTTGGCTTCCTACTACCACTCTACTACTTCTCTTCATCCATCAAATCCCTAACAAAGCTTCCATAACAAGACAAATTTTAATTTTCAAATTTCACTTATACAATTTTTCTTCAATTTCACCACCCCCCCCCCCCCACCCCCCAAAAAAAAATCCTCTAAATTTCATAAAAAAAAATGGCGAATTTTTCAAAAGAATGCCCACTTCCAGCATTAGTAGAAGAGCTTATTAGGCTAATTTTTAAGAAGCAATTACAACCATTCCCTGATTTGAAGGCAAGAAGAGTGCTTGCATCACTGGGTGAAAACGAATCGCTTAAATTGCTTAATCAAATTTGTACGACCAAAATTACCAAATCTTTTGATGGTTTTATTATTTATTTGACTAATATTCATAATCAGACATCAAACCCTTCTTCTGCAATGCCACATAATTTTGCTTCTCCTCAACTCACTTCAACATCCCCTTCTTGTATCTTTCGAGGTTAATTAATTTCTCAGAACTTTTGTTGTTCTTATATATATATATATATATATATATATATATATATATATATATATATATATATATATATATATATATATATATAATTTTCGTTTAATTTGAGGATTATGTTTTTTTTTTTGTTTCCTGCAGAGAGTAAATCAACTGTTGATTCGGGTTCTTTTGGTAATTGATTTCTTGCCTTCCATAGTATTATATACACTTTTGTTTTTATAATTAGTTGTCATTAGATCACATCGCTTGTTCAAATTTTAAAGTACACTATCAACGTGACTATTAAACTTTAGAGTGTAACTTTTGCAATATAAATGGACAAAATAGCTAATTTTGCCTTAAAATCGCTAATTGAAGCAGCTGATTTCCTCCAAAGAGATTAAATGGGACGACCTTTTTTTTAGTGTGTTTCTGTCTATGTGGAGTTTACCTATTACTCCCTCCGTGTCAATATGGTTGTGCCAAAAGGGAGAACTAACTTAAAATACTTCCTTTGTCTTTCTTTAGTTGCTAAATCGTCATAATGTTGGATTGTGGAGTGAACATAACATAAAGGGTAGTATACTAGTATGAGACAAGCTTATTGGACTACTAAAAAAGGAAAATGGGGCAATCTTAGTTGTACAAAGGGATTTCTATTTAATCTAGGAAGTTATGATTGCTGTAATGAGTTTGAAGTTGACAGTTGAAGTTTATGTGCAGGAAGTAATGTTAATACATCAAGAAGAAATAATGGATTAGTTATGTCTTTCTTATCTAGTAAGGTACCTTTTGCTGAAGAATAATTAACTTAATAAAGTATCTCTACATTTTGTTAACAAGTCTTTGATTTGATCTTTTGGTTAATGTTTTAACAGATAAGTTAACATCCATAAAATTGAATATTTTTACCTCTTCTAAGCCATACAAACCAAGTCGTGAATTTCTAGCCCTGGAGAAATTGGGATTTCATCGAGCATTTCTTGTTTTAAGTTACATAAGAGGGTATATGTCACTTATTTCTTAAATTACAGACGGTGTTATGAATCTTAAGGTATCTAGTGTAGTCTAATTGTGATTAAAATTCTTCTTTAGGAGGAAACTTGAGGATGTAGCTTCTGTTTGTGACATTAATAGTCTAGTAGCTGAAGCAAAAAACTTACAATGGCTCTTTTGAGAAAAAAGTGTGGGATCGATAAGGTGATCAATATTGTCTCAGGAAAAACAGAAAAAGGTTCATGTCAATCATTTTTATATTTCAATCTTTCTATACATTACTTGTAAGTTTGGCATGCCAAAGTGTTTGATATTTGTGATGTTTAAGGTGTGAAACTTGGTACAAAATTAATGCAATATTTGTTTCCTGCCGGTCTGATTGTCATACCTCCTAAATCTTTTGATTGCTGTTTTGCAGTATCGTAACTGGGAATTATCAAGGTATACTACTTCTATCAATGTCATGTTCATCTCGATGGAAGTTATTGTTTCAAGGTGTAGTTTCCCAGCTACAGTTGAAGATCCACACAATTTTCTATATCCATTCAATATTTCTGTTTGTATTTGTTTGAAAGTACATGGATTTTTTTTTCCCAATTGGAAAACCTACTAACCATAGTATTGTTTCACTTAAATTCTCAAAATCTTCAAATCATGGATTTTTAACTATTGATCGTTTAATAATAACCTACATTATCAAAAATCAAATTGAAACTAAAGCCATCTTTGACCACTTTTGATGTTTGTGTTGTTTGGTAAAGTCTATTCAATCCTTTTTATTTCCAATTAGAGTCCCTTCGTAGGCGATAGAACAAGTCTTCTCTAGAAGGTTTTTAAAGAAGAGAATGTATTGATCTTAAAGTTTGTTGATGATGGAAAGGGGATAACAAAATTTTGTAAGGGTGCTGGCTCTTCATTTGCTACTATCAAAAAGGTTGCACAAGATGGGATACACTTGGGTCAGAAGTTGTACAAGTTCATTGGTGAGTTTCCTTTTCCTTTGGCATCAATTTAATGCATTTACAGAACAGAAGTAGGTTTTGCTACATGTTTTGTGAATGTGTACAGAGTAATATATCAAATGTAATATAACAGAGCAAGGCTTACTGTTTTATTATAATGTCGTTTGGTCTAAAAAATGCCCAAGCCACTTTTCAAAGACTTGTTAATACCGTCTTTGATAAACAGTTGGGACGGCACGTTGAAGCCTACATTGACGATATGATAGTCAAGACAAAGTTCCAACAAGATCATCTCAAGGATCTCCGAGAAACCTTCACCACACTCAGGCAGCACAAAGTCATGCTTAAGCCTATAAGCTTCCATAACAAGACCCATTTTAATTTTCAAATTTCACTTCAATTTTACAAAGTCCATCACAATTTTTCTTCAATTTCGCCAGCCCCAAAAAAAAAAGAAAAATCCTTTAAATTTCATAAAAACAAATGGCGGATTTTTCAAAAGAATGCCCACTTCCAGCATCAATAGAAGAGCTTGTTAGGCTAATTTGCAAGAAGCAATTACAACCATCCCCTGATTTGAAGGCAAGAAGAGTGCTTGCATCATTGAGTGAAAACGAATCGCTTAAATTGCTAAATCAAATTCGTACTACCAATTACCAAATCTTTTGATGGTTTTATTAAAACAAAGACTGGATAAGAAAATTTAAATAAAATAGACAACAAAAGTATAAAGTTTAGAAACTTTACTTTCTCTTCCTCACTGCAAAAATTTGACTTCCTACTACCACTCTACTACTCCTCTTCATCCATCAAATCCCTAACAAAGCTTCCATAACAAGACCATTTTAATTTTCAAATTTCACTTCAATATTACAAACTCCATCACAATTTTTCTTCAATTTTTCCACCCCCCAAAAAAAAGAAAAATCCTCTAAATTTCATCAAAAAAATGGCGGATTTTTCGAAGTAATGCCCACTTCTAGCATCAGTAGAAGAGCTTATTAGGCTAATTTGCAAGAAGCAACTACAACCATCCCATGATTTGAAGGCAAGAAGAGTGCTTTCATCACTGGGTGAAATCGAATCGCTTAAATTGCTTAATCAAATTCGTACTACCAAAATTACCAATTCTTTTGATGTTTTTATTATTTATTTGGCTAATATTCATAATCAGACATCAAACCCTTCTTCTGCAATGCCACATAATTTTTCTTCTCCTCAACTCACTTCGACATCCCCTTCTTGTATCTTTTGAGGTTACTTAATTTCTCAGATTTTTTGTTGTTCTTTTGAATATATATATGTATATCTAATTTTTGTTTAATTTGATGATTAATTTATTTTTTTTTTTCTGTAGAGAGTAAATCAACTGCTGATTGAGTTCTTCTTCTGGTAATTGATTTCTTGCCTTCCACAGTAGTATGTACCCTTTTATTTTTATAATTAGTTGTCATTTGATCACATCGCTTATTTAAATTTTAAAGTACACTATCAACATGACTATTAAACTTTAAAGTGTAACTTTTGAGATAAATGGACAAAATAGCTAATTATGCCTTAAAACCGCTAATACTCAAAGAGTAATGGTTTTTAGACTTTTTACAGTTGATAGTTCTCGGATATTAAATGCATGTCTGGTAAGGCTATTAGTAAGCTTGTTTTTCTCGTTTTCTGGGTTCAAAGTTCATCAGTCCAAAGTTCCCATGGCTTAGCCTAAAATTTAACAACTAAGTTGTACTAAACTTAATTTGGTATTTACGTGTCAAATATATCACTTAATTTTAGGGGTGGGACTTTGGTTCGATGGTTCGGTTTGAAACGGTTCGGGTTGAAACAGTTTCATTTAGCCGTCGGGTCGGTTCGGTTCGGTTCTGATTTGTCATAGGCTAGTTCGATTTCGGTTTATCTTTGTACGGTTTAAATTCGGTTCAGGTCATAAACGGTTCGGTTTATAACATTTCGAGTTGGTTTAGGGGTGGGTTTACCCGGGTCAATGCCGGTTTGGTTTATATACAGTTCGAGTCATAATCGGATCGGTTTGAAACGAGCCAGTTCAGGATCGAGTTTACCCTGGTCAATGTCGGTTCGGTTTATAAATGGTTCGGATCATGCCGATTTGGTTTATAAACGGTTTGGGTCATGATCGGATCGGTTTGAAACAGGTCAGTTCAGGGGTGGTTTTACCCGGGTCAATGTCAGTGAATACTATGTAAAAGTCAACATGACGCAATTTAGGATCGTTTAAGGCTATTTGGATTGATTTAGGGAAGATAAACTAGGAGTTGTTTACGATACAGATTCACCATGGAAATAGGCCTCCTAGGGCATTCCAATTCACTCTAAGATATAGAAAACACCATTCAACCTTACCAAGATTGAATTAGCAAAGGAAAGAACACGAATTCACTCAAAATAGAGAGAAAAACAAATTCTAGAAAAGTTTGTGTTTTGTTTTCAAAGCTTTGCCCCAAACGGACGACTTGGAACTCCTTTTATAGCCAAAGATTATCCTGTAAATCTACTTGGAGCTCCTTGACTTCCTACTACTATTTTACTACGCCTCTTCATCCATCAAATTCCTAACAAAGCTTCCATAACAAGACCCTTTTTAATTTTCAAATTTCACTTCAATTTTACAAACTCCATCACAATTTTTCTTCAATTTCGCCCCCCAAAAAAAAATCCTCTAAATTTCATCAAAGAAATGGCGGATTTTTCGAAAGAATGACCACTTCCAGCATTAGTAAAAGAGCTTATTAAGCTAATTTGCGAGGAGCAATTACAACCATCCCCTGATTTGAAGGCAAGAAGAGTGCTTGCATCACTAAGTGAAAATGAATCGCTTAAATTGCTTAATCAAATTCGCAATACCAAAATTACCAAATCTTTTGATGGTATATTATTTATTTGGCTAATATTCATAATCAGACATCAAACCCTTCTTCTGCAATGCAACCTAATTTTGCTTCTCCGCAACTCACTTCAATTTCCCCTTCTTATATCTTTCAAGGTTCCTTAATTTTTCAAGATTTTTGTTGTTCTTTGGAATATATATATATATATGGTATAACTAATTTTTGTTTGAGGTTTTTTTTTTTACTTTTTTTGTTTGTTTTTTTGTTTTGTTTTTCCTACATAGAATAAATCAAATGCTGATTCGGGTTCTTCTTCAGGTAACTGATTTCTTGCTTTCCACAGTAGTATATACCCTTTTTGTTTTCATAATTAGTTTTCATTTTATCACATCACTTGTTTAAACTTTAAAGTACAACATATAAGTCCGGAAGAATAAGTACAACAGTTTGGAACAATAAGTGTAAAAGTTTGGAACAATATGTGTAAAAGTTTGGAATAACAAGTATGTAAGTCTGGAACAATAAGTACAAAAGTTTGGAACAATAAGTATAAAGCTTTGGATCGATAGGTTTAAAATTTTGGAACAACAAGTATAAAGGTTTAGAACAATAGGTATAAAAGTCTAGAACAATAATAATGGCAAATCCGTAAATAATGAGGCGATTTAACAGTGCACGTAATAACTCCACGTTCACTCTAAAATTTGAAAAACTATAAAATAATTCTCAAAGACTCTTTAACTCCACTAATTAATCCCACTTCCCCATTACTGCCAAAAAAAATAAAAAAAAAATCTGTTCCTAATCTCCATAGAATTCCTATTGTAAAAAAAAAAAAAAAATTCTTCTTCTTAAAAAAAAAACTATTCGTATGGATTCTTCCGGAAATGCTCCCAGGCCAGCAAAAAAGTCTCTTGTCAACTTCATGTAAGTCGCATTTTCATTAATCTTTAATATTATTGATTTGAATTTCAAATTGTTGTATAAAATCATTTGTTTGTATACAGGGAAAGGATTGAAAAAAAGGCAGGACAAATAACAGTGCCACCACCTTCAAATGAACAAATTCACAACGGGTAAGTAATGTTTCAAGCTAATACGCTTGTTGTTCATATTTTATATGCACAAATTAAAAAAAAATAGTGTTCCCAACTAATATGCATATTGTTCCTAACTTATATACGTAATGTTCCAAACTAATATGCCTATTGTTCCTAACTTATATACATAATGTTCCTAACTTAAATGCTCATTGTTCATAACACATACACGTAATGTTCCTAATTTATATGTCTATTATTCTAACTTATATAATAAATGTTCCTAAATTAAATGTTTAGGACTCCTGAGAGAAGTATTGTCCCCTTCTAACCTCCAAAAGAGATGAAAAGAAAGCAGTCTTCTACAATTGTTGTTGTACAGCAAAAAAAGGCTAAACATTTGGAGGAAGAAGATCAAGATGAAGAAAAAGGAGATCGTGCATTGATTCAGAGAATCACCCCCCAAAAAGTTTATAACAAGAGTTATAAAAGACCTTCCTTATCAACATAAGGAAGCTATCAAAAATTTGGGGTTTGGTGGATTACTTCATTTAAGTTTAGATGCACACAAGGGTAGTTTTTGTGCTGAATTGGTCAGTAGATTTGACCAAAATAGATCATCTTTGGTACTCTCAAAAGGAAATGAGATACCAATACTGTCAGAGGATGTTCATTTAGTCTACGGTCTGGCCATTGGAGGAGTCCCAATTACAGAACCAAAATCAAATGACTCTGACGAAGAATGTAAACTGTATCTACAACAATGGAGGAATCAGTTTGGGCTTAACACTGGAAGTCGAACTCTCTCTGTACTTGTAAACAAGATAGAAGATAAAAAAAAACAAGATATGTCTCATGAGTTTTTAATGAATTTCATTGTAGCTACGATTAATTGCTGTGTAAAGTCAACAGCAAACAAATCTGTTAACTTCAAGTTTTTATATAGCTGTAAGGATACCACCAAAGTGAAAATACTTGATTGGTGTGCGTACACATACAAACAAATGCTTGAATCAGTCTAAGAATGGCAAGATGGATAATCATTTTTCACTGGTCCACTACCTTTCATGATGGTAACTACTTCGTCTTTTATACTTGTTGTTCATAACTTTAATACTTATTGTTCTTAAGTTTAATATTTATTGTTCCTAACTCCTCTACCTATTGTTCCAAAGTTTTTCACTTATTGTTCATAACTTTTTTACTCATTGTTCCAAACTGTCACACTTAATGATCCTAACTTCAACAATAATTACTCCTAACTTATCTCTTACTAATCCTAACTTCTATATTCATTATTCCAAACTTGAGTACTTATTATTCCAGACTTATATGCTTAATGTTCCAAACCTTTGTACTTATTGTTCCTAAGTGTTCTATTCATTGTTCCTAATTTTTTTAATTGTTCCTAACTTTTCTACTTATTATTTCTAAATTTTCTACTCATTATTCCAAACTTTTCTACTCATTGTTGCACATATTGTTCTAATCTTTGTTATATATTGCTTAAAATCAGATTACCTGTTTTGATCGACTTAAAAAACGAGGTTATAGTCAAGGAACAATAAAATGTAAGGAACTTACATCATTTGCCTTTATTCCTATGTTCCAAAGTGAGTCAGCTTGCCCTTCGTATGATTCTATGTGTCTCAGGACATACACCCCACAGTCATTTACATTATTATTGTTCCTCCATGGCATTTCTTTGATTACTGTTTTGAATTCTTTTACTAAATCTCCATTGCCGGTGCGTGTTTCATTTAGGAATTGTGAAAATGCCTTCAACTTCAATACAAAAAGTACAAGGTAGTTGCATGAACATTAGGAATTGGAACAAGTTTTAGGAACAATAAAATTCTGGAACATATCAGAGTTCTTATCATTGTTTTTGGGAAGTTCTTATACTTGTCTTTAAATGAAACTCCCTTCTCTAGTATTCTATTGTCTATCACCTCTAGTTTTTTGTTGATAAAGTTGAAGCATAACAGGTAGTAATGGTCAAACACAACTACTAAGAAGAACACCTATATTGGAAACAGAAAGTGTTGTTAATGTATTGTAAACTATATAAAATGAAATAATAAAGGAAGTAATCTGAAAGTATTTACCAAATCAACTTTATCAAAGGCACTTTATCTGAGAGTGTTTCATTTCATCTGCGATCTGACACTTAAATGCTAAATATCAATCAGTATAAACGTTTGAATCATTGAAGTGAGTGTTGCCGCATAGTATTTGCTTCAATATTAAAATGATAAAACATAAGTATTATCATGATAAAGCATTAAGAACAACAAGCATATACTTTTGGAACAACACTTGTAAAAGTTATGAATAATGAGCATATATGTTAGGAACATTACGTGTTATGAACGATGGACTTAAGTTAGGAACTATGAGCATATAAGTTAGGAATATTACGTATATAAGTTAGGAACATTATATATATGAGTTAGGAACATTACGTTTATAAGTTAGGAACATTAAATATATGAGTTTGGAACAATGCGTGTATAAGTTATGAACAATGAGCATATATGTTAGGAACATTACGTGTTATTAACAATGGGCTTATAAGTTAGGAACTATGAGCATATAACTTAAAAACATTATGTTTATAAGTTAGGAACATTAAATATATGAGTTTGAAACAATACGTTTATAAGTTAGGAACATTAAATATATGAGTTTGGAACAATACGTGTATAAGTTATGAACAATGAGCATATATTTTAGGAACATTACGTATTATAGTTAGGAACAATAAGTATATAGGTTATGAACAATGAGCATATATGAAAAAAAAAACAAGCATATAAGTTAGGAACAATAAGTGTAAAAGTTTTGAACATTGTGTATATTAGTTAAGAACAATAAGTGTAAAAGTTTTGAACATTGTGTATATGAGTTAAGAACAATACCCAATTCTCAATAGTGCACCAAAATCTATTTCTTGCACTAGGTTTTATTCTCCTATTTGTCATGCTGAGTATATGTACATAGGAGTCAACGATGTTGTTCATAGCATAATTATTATATTGCAGTGATGCTATGTCTTGCCTGCTGATGAAGTTTAATCCATCATTGTATAACTACTCAATTTATTATGCAGCATATACAACAACAATTATAGTTAGGAACAGTATATCAGTATATAAGTTAGGAACAATTAGTACATAAGTTATGAACAATAGGTATATAAATTAGGAACAATTGATATATAAGTTATGAACAACAATCTTACCTCTTTGGTCCAGATGAGAATGCATACTCAACAACCATTCTTTGAATTTTTTTGTAGTGTCTTGGATATTGGTTCATTGTTTTGCATGAATGGTGAACGTAGGTATACTGGAAGAATTTGTGTGATCCTTTTCTCTCTTTATTTTCTAACCTTTTTTTTTGGAATTAACCCTTCCTTCTCCACACCTTCAACAATTGATTTTGCCAGTTGTTGTAACTGATCTTCCATTTGTTAATCGTTTAGTTGTTCTTTAATTGGAGAGGATACAGTTGGTGGTTGTTGTTTTGAAGAAGCTGGAGGAGGTTAGGGCTCTGCGTGTTTAGTTTTCTGGATTGGTGAAGCTGGAGGAGGTTGGGGCTCTGTTTGTATTGTTCTCTGGATTGGAGAAGCTGGAGGAGTTGGTGTATGAATAAATGTTTGTGTTGTTGGAAGTTATTGGCTTCCAACAAATAGATTGTAATTTGGGGAAGTAAAGCAAACAATATCATTTCTTTGTTGTTTTTCTTGTGCTTGTATCTTTGTTAATGCCCTTCCCATGACTTCATCAAGCTCTGCCATGAAAGCTGGCTCATCAAATAGATGCTCATCTTGTGTTAGTATTCCAGGGCTTCTGGTCTATTCCTGGCTCATTCTTTGTGTTTGTGTTGTTGAAGTGTACTTATTCCATATATTTTCAATTACAGTCTTCATTTCTTGTTGAATTTGTACTTCTTCAAACAGATTGTATGCTTTGTCAATGAAAGCATACATATCAAACACATTTTTTGCAAGTGTTTTTGCCATTGTTGAAAATTTGTCAAAGTAATCCTTCAATAAACAGGAGAAAAGGAATGTAAAAGTTTTGAAACAAAGAGTAGAAAAGTAAAGAACAGTTGGTATACAAATATATAGATTAGGAACATAAAGAAGAAGAAATAAGAACAATAGGTATAAGTGTTTGGAACATAAGGAAGAAACAATAAAAACAATAATTATATGAGTTTGGAACATTAAGCATTTATGTTTGGAACATTAAGTGTATGAGTTTGGAACAATAGGTTTATACTTTTGGAACATGTATATGAGTTTGGAACATTAAGTCTATGAGTCTGGAACATTAAGTGGTAAGGTTTGGAACATTAAGTATTGATGTTTGGAGTAATTATTGTTAAAGTTAGGATCATTAAGTGTGACAGTTTGGAACAATGAGTAAAAAAGTTATGAACAATAAGTGAAAAACTTTGGAACAATAGGTAGAGGAGTTAGGAACAATAAATATTAAACTTAAGAACAATAAGTATTAAAGTTATGAACAACAAGTATAAAAGACGAAGTAGTTACCATCATGAAAGGTAGTGGACCAGTGAAAAATGATGATCCATCTTGCCATTCTTAGACTGATTCAAGCATTTGTTTGTATGTGTACGCACACCAATCAAGTATTTTCACTTTGGTGGTATCCTTACAGCTATATAAAAACTTGAAGTTAACAGATTTGTTTGTTGTTGACTTTACACAGCAATTAATCACAGCTACAATGAAATTCATTAAAAACTCATAAGACACATCTTGTTTTTTTATCTTTTATCTTGTTTACAAGTACAGAGAAAGTTCGACTTCCAGTGTTAAGCCCAAACTGATTCCTCCATTTTTGTAGAAACTGTTTACATTCTTCATCAGAGTCATTTGATTTTGGTTCTGTAATTGGGACTCCTCCAATGAGCAGGTCGTAGACTAAATGAACATCCTCTGGTAGTATTGGTATCTCATTTCCTTTTGAGAGTACTAAAGATGATCTATCTTGGTCAAAGCTACTGACCAATTCAGCACAAAAACTGCCCTTGTGTGCATCTAAACTTAAATGAAGTAATCCACCAAACCCCAAATTTTTGATAGCTTCCTTATGTTGATAAGGAAGGTCTTTTATAACTCTTGTTATAAACTGTTTGGGGTGATTCTCTAAATCAATGCACGATCTCCTTTTTCTTCTTCTTGATCTTCTTCCTCCAAATGTTTAGCCTTTTTTTGTTGTATAACAACAATTGTAGAAGACTGCTTTCTTTTCATCTCTTTTGGAGGTTGGAAGGGGACAATACTTCTCTCAGAAGTCCTAAACATTTAATTTAGGAACATTTATTATATAAGTTAGGAACAATAGGCATATAAATTAAGAACATTACGTGTATGTGTTATGAACAATGAGCATTTAAGTTAGGAACATTACATATATAAGTTAGGAACAATAGGTATATTAGTTTGGAACATTACGTATATAAGTTAGGAACAATATGCATAATAGTTTGGAACACTATTTTTTCTGAATTTGTGCATATAAAATATTACGTGTACTGTTAAACCGCCTCAATAGGAATTCAATGGAGATTACGAACAGATTTTTTTTTTTTTTTTTTTTTGCAGTAATGGGGAAGTGGGATTAATTAGTGGAGTTAAAGAGTCTTTGAGAATTCTTTATAGTTTTTTCAAATTTTAGAGTGAACGTGGAGTTATTACGTAAACTGTTAAACCGCCTCATTATTTACAGATTTGCCATTATTCTTGTTCCAAACTTTTATATCTATTGTTCTAAACCTTTATACTTGTTGTTCCAAAATTTTATACCTATTGATCCAAAGCTTTATATTTATTGTTTCAAACTTTTGTACTTATTGTTCCAGACTTATATACTTGTTGATACAAACTTTTACACGTATTGTTCCAAACTTTTATACTTATTGTTTCAAACTGTTGTACTTATTGTTCCAGACTTACATGTTGATAGTGTACTTTAAAGTTTAAACAAGTGATGTGATCAAATGAAAACTAATTATAAAAACAAAAGGGTATATACTACTGTGGAAAGCAAGAAATTAGTTACCAGAAGAAGAACCCGAATCAACAATTGATTTACTCTCTGCAGGAAAAACAAAACAAAACAAAAACAAACAAAAAACCTCAAATTAAACAAAAACTAGATAAACCCAAATATATATATATATATAGTTTTGCAGTGAGGAAGAGAAAGTGTAGTTTCTAAACTTTATACTTTTGTTTCTATTTTTATTTAAATTTTTTATTCAATCTTTATTTTAATAAAACCTTCAAAAGCTTTGGTAATTTTGGTAGTACGAATTTGATTAAGCAATTTAAGCGATTTGTTTTCACCCAGTGATGCAAGCACTCTTCTTGCCTTCAAATCAAGGGATGGTTGTAATTGCTTCTTGCAAATTAGCCTAATAAGCTCTTCTACTGAAGCTGGAAGTGGGCATTCTTTCGGAAAATCTGCCATTTTTTATTTTATTTTTTTTGATGAAATTTAGAGGATTTTTCTTTTTTTTTTCTGGGGGTGGCGAAATTGATGAAAAATTGTGATGGACTTTGTAAAATTGAAGTGAAATTTGAAAATTAAAATGAGTCTTGTTATGGAAGCTTATAGGCTTAAGTATGACTTTGTGCCACCTGAGTGTGGTGAAGGTTTCTTGGAAATCCTTGAGATGATCTTGTTGGAACTTTATCTTGACTATCATATCGACAACGTAGGCTTCAACGTTGCGTCCAACTGTTTATCAAAGACGGTATTAACAAGTCTTTGAAAAGTGGCTTGGGCATTTTTTAGACCACACGGCATAATAATATAACAGTATAAACCCTGCTCTGTTATATTATAATAGTATAAGCATTGCTCTGTTATATTACATTTGATATATTACTCTGTAAACATTCACAAAACATGTAGCAAAACCTACTTATGTTCTATAAATGCAATAAATTGATGCCAGAGGAAAAGAAAACTCACCAATGAACTTGTACAACTTCTGACCCAAGTGTATCCCATCTTGTGCAACCTTTTTGATAGTAGCAAATGAAGAGCCAACACCCTTACAAAATTTTTTTTTTCCCCTTTCCATCATCAACAAACTTTAAGATCAATACATTATCTTCTTTAAAAACCTTCTGGAGAAGACTTGTTCTATCGACTATGAAGGGACCCTAATTGGAAATAAAAAGGATTGAATAGACTTCACCAAACAATACAAACATCAAAAGTGGTCAAAGGTGGCTTCAGTTTCAATTTGATTTTTGATAATGTAGGTTATTATTAAACGATCAAAAGTTAAAAATCCGTGATTTGAAGAATTTGAGAATTTAAGTGAAACAATACTATGGTAAGTAGGTTTTCCAACTGGAAAAAAAAAATCCATGGACTTTCAAACAAATACAAACAGAAATATTGAAAGGATACAGAAAATTGTGCGGATCTTCAACTATAGCTGGGAAACTACACCTTGAAACAATAACTTCCATCGAGATGAACATGACATTGATAGAAGTAGTATAGCCTTGATAATTCCCAGTTACATAGCCTTGATAATTCCCAGTTACGATACTGCAAAATGGCAATCAAAAGATTTAGGAGGTATGATGGTCAGACCGGCAGGAAACAATTATATTGCATTAATATTGTACCAGGTTTCACGCCTTAAACATCACAAATATCAAACACTTTGGCATGCCAAACTTACAAGCAATGTATAAAAGGATTGAAATATAAAAATGATCGACATGAACCTTTTTCTGTCCTTCCTGAGACAATATTGATCACCTTATCGATCCCACACCATTTTCTCAAAAGAGCCCATTGTAAGTTTTTTGCTTCAGCTACTAGACTATTAATGTCACAAACAGAAGCTACATCCTCAAGTTTTCTCCTAAAGAAGAAGTTTAATCACAATTATAATACAGTAGATACCTTAAGATTCATAACACCGTCTGTAATATAAGAAATAAGTGACATATACCCTCTTATGTAACTTAAAACAAGGAATGCTCGACGAAATCCCAATTTCTCCAGGGCTAGAAATTCACGACTTGGTTTGTATGGCTTGAGGAGGTAAAAATGTTCAATTTCATGGATGTTAACTTATCTGTTAAAACATTAACCAAAAGATCAAATCAAAGACTTGTTAACAAAATGTAGAGATACTTTATTAAGTTAATTCTTCAGCAAAAGGTACCTTACTAGATAAGAAAGACATAACTGATCCATTATTTCTTCTTGATGTATTAACATTACTTCAGCAAAATGAGTTTGAAGTTGACAGTTGAAGTTTATGTGCAGGAAGTAATGTTAATACATCAAGAAGAAATAATGGATCTGTTATGTCTTTCTTATTTGGTAAGGTACCTTTTGCCGAAGAATTAACTTAGTAAAGTATCTCTACATCTTTATGAGAACACTTGCGTTTATCTGTTATGTCTTTCTTTCTATACATTGCTTTTAAGTTTTGCATGCCTAAGTGTTTGATATTTGTGATGTTTAAGGTGTGAAACTGGTACAAGATTAATGCAATATAATTGTTTCCTGCCGGTCTGATTGCCATACCTCCTAAATCTTTTGATTGCTGTTTTGCAGTATCGTAACTGGGAATTATCAGGGCTATACTACTTCTATCAGTGTCATGTATGTTCATCTCAATGGAAGTTATTGTTTCCGGTGTAGTTTCCCGGCTACTATTAAAGATCCGCACAATTTTCTGTATCCTTTCAATATTTCTATTGTGTATTTGTTTGAAGGGATTTTTTTTTTCCAGTTGCAACCTACAAACCATAGTATTGTTTCACTTAAATTCTCAAACTCTTCAAATCATGCACCAATTAACAACGAAGAAAATTAGGATCTTTTAACTTTTGATCGTTTAATAATAACCTACGTTATAAAAAATAATAACCTACGTCATCAATAATAACCTTTCAAAATCAAGCCCTAATTTCTTCAGCCGATCACCGGAGATCTCATCCTCTCTCTAAACTTGGGTTCTTCGATTACGCAACCGGTAATCTATCTTGCTCTCTTCGTTGTGTTTTATTGTACACTAAGCTTTCATCTTCTTTCCTTCTCTAGTATGCATTTCTTCCTCCTAAAAACCCGTATGCATTTTGAAACAACCGTTCGCTAAATCACTGCCTTCCATTATCCGAAAACGGTACGTAATTTTTTTCTTCAAAGTTAATTTTTTAATGATCCCTTTGTTTAATTGCGGTGCGTAATTGGACTTGTGATTGTTGAATTGAGTGCAACGACATTCGTAAATCGATGAAATATGGGTAAGTTTAATTTTGGTTGAGTGCTTGACATTCGTAAATCGATGATATTTTTTCCATCATGTTGCTGAAATTCAAAGTGTTTACGCAATTCGAATAGTGAGCAGTTGCAAAGAAATTATGAAATTTGAAGTGTTTATGAAATTCGAATAGTGAACATATTGAAATATTTGTAGAACAGAAAAAACACTGAATTTAAGCAGAACATATCAAGATGTTTGTAGAACATAAAAGGCGGTTTAGCTTGAACATATTGATATATTTGTAGAATATTTATATGTATGTAGAACATAAGAAATCAGTTCCTATGTCCATTTGAACATAATCTGTGTCGATTGTGGGCGGTGGTAATGCGATAATATGATTGAGCCTTCCACGCCCACTTATGGCAAGATACATGAGCTTGGACCACTTTGTGTAGTTCTGGTGATTCAGTTTCTCACTCAGGCTCACAAAAGATTGGTGATTCATTTCCTGTAGTTCAGTTCCTTTCTGTAGATCCACGTAGTTCTACGATATCACCGTAGATCCACGTAGTTCTACCCTACTGTAGATCCACACGGGTCTACCCTAACCCTCTAGATCCACTTGGGTCTATAATATCATTGTAGATCCACATAGTTCTACAATATCACAACATACTTCAAGCATGCATATAAAAAACTTAGAAATGTCGAGTTCTTAATTAGCAAACTAAAGCATGCACATATTATATCATTCATTATTCACAATAATTCTCAATGATGTTAATAAAAGTTAAAAAGTACTAAATTTAAAATAAAAAAAAGAGCCCAAATACTCAAAATAGAAAACTAATTAAAAAAAAGTTCTTTGATTAGCCGCATTAGGGTTGATTGTGGAGAAAACTTCACTATGCTTAGGGTTGATTGGGGAGAGCACTACACCCTGCTTGTTGGCCTCTGATTGGTCTGGCCTCTGTACAAAATAAATAAACCAAAAATAGGAAACATTGAAATTAGAAATCCCAAATGACTTATAAAAAGTCACAAAAACAAAAAGACCACAAACAACAAGCACCAAACAGACTATTGATCGTCTTTTCTTTGAGTGTGACTACAGTTCTGCTTGCTGTCAAATCCTTGAAGATAAAATAGGTAGCCAGGTTCATCCTAAGGGCCTTGGGGAGTGCAATTCTAAGCTCCCGCAGATTTCAGATATCAAAAAAAAAGTTTTCCAGTGTTGCTTTGCAGGCTTGATCTACTCTATCTGGATTCAGAGAAATGGGAAGGTCTGGAGCAGGAATACTCTTACTCCGAGGCAGGCTGTTCAGGGGGTCTTATCTGAGGTGTACCATTGAATATCCTTCATGTTAAAGCAAAAGATAGAGAGCTAGTGATGACAAGTTCAATTCTCTTAGGAACTGGCTTTGTTAGTTTTCAATTGCATAAGCTCTTAGATTGTAAATCAAGTCAGCTTAATAGATTATTGTTCTCTTGTGCTGCAAGGAGAGATTAAAAGGGATATGGAAGAACTTAAGTAAAGTAAAACAGTGAATTTAGATGCGATGCAAATATACCTAAGGCTTCTCATATTCCTGCATATCACAAGCAATATGTTATAATACTTTGTCAACAGAATCTCTAAGTGCGACGGTGCAAAACAATTGCACATTCACAATAAGGTCGTCTCGTATCATCTTGCTATAGAGGGAAGCCACCTTATAGCCATAGCTTCTATTTATATGACCTGCAGAAATCAATTTGTCTATTTCTGAAGTAACTCGGCCAGTGATGTCCTCAAAACTCATTGTATCATGGCTTTTCATTCGAGAAAACCCACTTTTAAAGCTACTCTTCATGGAGCTACTCGATCCATTACTGGTCCTCTTCTTTGAAAGGGGAAAACGTGGGACAATTTTCTTTTTAAAGACGTTGTTCATCTTGACATACAACATATCAGGATCCCGATCGGCCTCAGGATGCTACAACAACAACAACAGCATGCTCAGCATTTCTACTGAATTATACTAATTCAGACATTAATGATCGTGGCTAAGGGGTTGAACCTAAAAGCATTAATGCAGGTATTAAAGGTGAATTGGGGGGTATTGAAGGTATGCATGGTAAGCAAATAGCACAGCCAATGGCACAGCAAGTTACAAACACAACAACAGCGGCATGCTCAGCATTTCTAAACTAAAGAGATTCACCTCATATGTACGGTTAACATTTCGGAGCAGCATACCCTGCTCTTGGCACTGCTCAGACGTGATTTGGTGATTAGCAATATTTTGACCAAATCGAAAGGCGAATCTTCTCCAGAATTCTTCAGACCACATCTGTGATTTGCGAATACCATAATGTCCTTTGGCACATATTTCATCGAGGACACTCACAAAGGCTTCATCCCAAGAAGAATCCCAAGCCATTTACACTAGAAATATATCACTTTTCAAATAGATGGACTCATTTATTAAAATATGGACTCATTTAGGAATTATTCCAAACTTACTTTTGAAAGGTCACCGGTTGAAGCACTTCGTCTTCGTTTCCGTATTCATTTTTGTGTTGGGCGTAGCTAGAAAGAAAGGAACAAAATCATTCAAACAATGCTTATACCAATCAACACTAACTAACCAAACCAAAAATCCCTACCAACAACAACCATTAACAATACCAAACCTCCAAATTATCACCAGCCAAAAAAAAAAAAAAAAAAAAAAAAAAACAACCAACGACAACAATGAAATGCCATAACACAATTCATCAACAACTGCAGATTATCAATTATCAATCATAGAACAATATTAAAAACTACAATCACCACTGCCAATCAATAAGAACATGAAATTTCAATTCACACAACAACCAATCAATAACACCTCACCAAAAACAAAAATTTCAACAATGGTACTTCTAAGGCAAAAACATAAATTTACTCACCGCGGATGTGGCCTCTTCGTGTTCTCTCTTCCTTTTCCCACTTAAAGTGGTTGGGGTTCTATTGTTGTCAGCAGGCATGTTGGTACTTCGTATCAAATCAAATCTTTTGCCCAAAAGAAAAAAAATTGCCTCAAAACAATCAAAATTTGCCCAAACGAATTTTTGGAGAAAAAAAATGACTGACAGAGGAGTTATTGAAGGTAGGCTTTGAAGACTGAAGCTATACATGCATTGAATCATTAAATCAACTTTATCTTGTTAATTTTCCTATCGGCTGCTGTGGTGAAGTGATTTGGTAGTTGCATTCAATATTTCAATTGAAGTTTAATGATACATATATGCTAGATTGGTTTGGTCTTCTTGGATTTTATTTGGATATGTGGAAAATTGAGATGGGTTTTGTTGGATTTACGAGTAATTGGAATGGGACCCAAAATCACCCATCTTATACTCCCTTAGTCCCATTTTTATTGCAACATTTGGATGAGCATAGTCTCCCAAGTTTATTTTTTATTACTTGTATCTTTAATTATGTTTAGGAAAAAATTATATAAAATTTATATTTAAATAGTAACCTTGTCATCAAATTCGGATAACCAAATAGAGATTGGATCGGATTTATTAGGGTCGAGGTTGTTTGGGTCAGATATATTCGGTTCAAAATTACCCTTTTAATCCGCTTCGGGTAGGATCAGATCACATTTGGGTCAAGATTTGTCGAGTCCAGATCGGGTTTGGGTCAGGTCAACTTCAGATCGGTTCATATTCGGTTCAGATACACTCGGGTCGGGTTCAAAACGGGTTTGACCGAGTTAACATCGGGTTAAATAACTTTGGATCGAGTTGGTTTCGATTCGATTGATTCGGTTATGTTAAGTTTGGTTTGATTACTAAAGTTGATTCAGTATTTGGTCAATTCTAAGTTTAATATTCAGTATTTGGTCAATCACTAGGCGAAAACACGTAATCCACACCGGTTCAAACCCCCCATTTAGCACCGATTTTGAACCAAACTAGGATGCCTATTTTCTACATTTCTTATCAAATCAACTCATTCTTGCTCTTAACATGTCATTATTACCTAGTTATAGTCAGCAACATCTTACGCATTGTTTATTACGAAAATCACAATATCATGTAGCATTATCATCGGTGTTTTCCATGTTGGACCTTGAGGAGCTCGACAATTTATCTTCTTCATAACACTATAAAAAAGTAAATTCAAACTTGATTAGTATGACTAATAAATGAGTTAGGTAATGATAATCAACACTAGGTAGCTTTATTTACTTTCGCAGTATAGACTTCACTAGGAGCTTTTTTAGATGATGCAATCGAGCTGAATCAAAAAGGAATATTGTGTTACTGGAAACACAAATTATCAACAGGGTCCAATGCAAACTACATAAATGCACAATACACAAACAAATCAATAATTAGTCGTGTACAACATATAAGTAGGGGAAACAAATGAATTTGACATGGTCAAACGTACTCCTCAAAACATGGGGCGTATGAACTTGTCTCTCACACGCACTGATTCCTTGATACCCCGTTCAACATAGTACAACACGACAAGGTAATTGCCTAAGATTCTAATAGTGGAAATCTGCTCAGGGCATAACCACCCTACTTGACACGGACAATCAATCTCAAGTAAATGCTCCTGTAGTGCTCTGCATGCATGATAATAGAATATTAATGGAAAAATAAACAACAATCACCACTAATCTGAATAACATAATTTAAGCGGCATTGAATTACCTCATAAATGTTTTAATGAGGAAAATGTTAAGGATTGAACCACTTAGAAATTCCTTCACATCTTCTTTGCTAAGTCATGCAACTGCATCCTCATCAAAGTGGAACATTGCCTTACGTAATGCAACTTGAATAGGAGTGTCATTAGGCAACATACTAACACGGTTATGTAGAAAAGTTAAATCTTTAGAGAGCATTTGAAGGACCGTGTCAGCAAGAAGTAGAGTAGCTTGCATAGCTGAACCTCTCGAAGAGTTCTTCTTCAACCCTTTTTCACTCTCCGACCGTTGTTCAATCCTCTTCTTTGCCACCGGTTGATCAATGCTTTTACACTGCTCCACCCTCATCTTCAAAGTTTGGCTTTTTTTCGAAATCTGATAAAACAAATCACGCAATTGGTTAGAAAAGAAATCCATCTAACTCTTGTGAAGACAACTGGGCATAAAGTAAAGAGTGAACCCAAAATCTTAATCACCTGGTTCATCAACCTTACCCAAGCACATGGCTACTGCACAAAGCTACCTTTTGCTGACCAAAGTGTAGTAAACTCATCCTCCTCTACAGGCACCGGTATTAGGATGTCCTCGAACCCATCACAGAATTGATCCCGACCGAGTAATGTTGTGGCCTAAGTGGTCGCAACTGGACCGTACCTTGTTCGGCCGGTTGTGCACTACCATATTTAACCACATTCGAAGCTCCAGATTTGCCCGGGTGTTGAAGTGCACAACGGGTCTCTTCCTACACCAATTTGAAAAATCAATTATTAGAACCAAACATATCTCAAGGGTCGTTTCCTACACAATTGATAATGTACCCATATTCACTAAACTAGAACTAAACAAAATCACCTGTAAATCTGGAAAATGAGGAGGTGCTGGATTATCGAGCTCCCTCGAGTTTGCATGTCTAGGAGTACCACCCTACAATAGGAAATTAATTAATGCCACCTTAGATCCCACGTAACTCAATATGCCAAAACTAATAAATTTGAAACTACCTCATGTATATCATCGTCTCCATGTATTTCATCTTCTCCTTGTCCTTTTGGGTGACTACATGAGTCAACTGGTGTAGTCGAGGGGAACGACAAGCTCGGTAAGTTCATTTACTTCGCCCAAGCATTGAATTCACCTACGAGCTCGTTCGGCACTTGTTCCTTAATTGATACCACCGTGGAAACCAAGTCATGAGGTGAGTTAACACTTGCTCGGGATCTTCCTGATTTGGTATATTCTAGACCCATCACCTTTTCCCATCCTAGCAATGACCCTCCCGCACCTACTACCCGTCCTGGATGGTAGGGCTTTCCCAAAGCCAAGGTAAAAGGATCTTTTTCTACACTTGGGACAAGCTTGCCTTCAACCAGTTCCTCAGTGTGTTCAATCTGTGGCAAAAAAAAGGCAACATGAATATAGTTTTTTCTTTTTGATAAATAAGAAATTTTATTACCAAAGAATAATAGTTACAACTTTACAAAATAGCAAAACTGTAACACCACAACACAAACAAGACAGCTAAACGCAACAGAACAGAAACCAACAGCATCCAAACCAACACACAGCTTCACTCAACAGACAGGACAGCAAGCAAGACCATAGCAAACCATAAGTGATATTCATGCAAAAGCTTCATAAAGTTTACAAGTTCATAGTTGCTTACGAGCTTATCTGTCATTTCTTTGGTTTCCGGAGCCTTGATGACCCATTTTCCAATTTCCTTGTCACACGCATGCAGAGAACAGAAGAAATCACCAGCACGACTCACCAGCGTAGTGATCGTGGAATCAGAGGATTCTTTGGAGGACCCTAGAAGCGAAGTGGGGTATACTCCTTCGTTGACCCACGTTTCCTTCCATTCACCAAATGTCTTACACCCCATACGTTGAGTGTATTGCTCATCCTTGCATTTTTGGAATTTTGCTCCCTCAGTTCCTACATAATTAGAAATGTTAGTATCATTACTTCAAAAAGAGTTAATATATTATACAATTGTCATCAGATTTACTTAAACTTACAATTGCTTCCTTTTTACTTTTTTGAAGAACGAAAGCTTCCCAATCATCCTTCGATACGCTAGGCCATTTTTGCCATGGGAGTTGCTCTTCCTCGATGACTTCATCAACATTGCCGCCCCCTTTCTTCTTCTTTGGTTTATTCACAACTATCTTTGTGATCCAGCCACGAACTAAGGTGGTCTTGAAGCCTCTGAATCTTTTTACTAGTAAAGCTTCAAACACCCTTCGCTTGGCGGCATCGTTAGGAATATTAAACAGACTCTACAAGCATAAATAAAATCGATTATTAGTTTCCCCTTTTAAATAACAATAAAGTGAAAATATTTATAATTGTGTAAATGTGCAAACAAAACACTTGCCCTTGTATCATTCCAAAATGTGTCAATCAAGCCTGAAGATACTTCCCGCCAACCAAGTGTAATCGAGATTTTGCGCACACAAATGCCAACGTGAACAGCATATTGACGACGCCATTTTCCTGTAGGTTGGCCCGCCTCGTCGTACTCTAGGACCATGGGAGTGACGGGTTTCTTGAAACTTGTCGTCGGACCCCTCACCTTTTTCTTAGCCCGTGCCTTCACCCCTCCTCCACTTTGTCCTTGGCTTTGAGTGTGGGAAGTAAGGTTCTCACCAACCGTCTCAGAAACTGCATTTTCAATAGGAGGCGCTTGTTCAGCTGAAATTTCAAATTCATCAAGCCTACGCTCCAACTCATCCTGAGCCTGATCTTCTGCCTCACCCAAATCAGGCTCCTTGTTCACATCATACAGCTCATCCTCATCCTCAGAGAAATCATCATCATCATCCTCTATATCCTCGACACAAATACGGTCCTGATCGTCCGCCATGAGATGTAAACACCTACCATAACCAACATAACACGTTGTTAGTTGTAATATAAATAAATTTGCAAAGGTAAAGTTATAAAATCAAATATAAATTGCTGAATTATAATACAAATCAACATAGAAAATGGACAAGTGTAGGTTGTTTTTATTCCATATTTCAAATGTTTTAAAAGTTACTTCATTCATTTAAAAGAAAATGTGAAAAATGGGCAAGTAAGTTAACACTTTCATTCATTTTCATCTAACCTGTGATTTAATAATACTTTCAACGCCTACAATTTCATAATTGCTGAAAAATAGTACCTCAATCTAATATTCCTTCGTTGTGGTCTGATCACATATAATTGGCTTGGTCGTCTATGTCATTTGGTACAACAGGTCTAGGAACAGTGAAAGGTGTCGAGTCATCAAACGCATCATATTCTTCCTCATCCTCGACATCTCCAATGCCTAGGATTCTTCTTTTGCCGGCTAGCACAATAGACCATTTTGAATCGGCTGGGTCAGTTACGTAAAACACTTGCTTAGCTTGAGATGCAAGGATAAATGGTTCCGCACTGTCATTCAGGTGGCCAAGATCTACAAGAGTAAAGTCATCATATTTGACGTTACGCCTGATATTATCAACCCACTTACACCAGAAAAGAGCAACCGTGAAGTTACAATAATCAAGCTCCCATATTTCTTGAATTCGACCATAGTATGACAACTCTGCATCAACGGGTGATTTATCCTTAGCACTTGCAAACTCCCTTGACGATGCCACAAGCGTTACACCACTGTTTTGGGTCGAGGAAGATTTCAAATCTCGACGCTCAGTCCAAAAAGTTTACCCATTTATGTCATATCCCTCAAATGAGCGAACATCATCCCTAAGACCATAAGCAAGCCACCTTACTGTATCAGTGACACTCTCATCCATTCTACCCATCACTCGATCAAAAAACCAACTCACAAACCTCTTATTATGCAACTGCATCAATGCCCTTTCACCTTTCGATGGAAATTCATCGCGCAAACTAGCCATGTGCTCATCTAAGTATGGGTGAACATCTGCAACATGGTGCAACACATATAGGTGTGCTTGTAAGAACTTATCTCGGTCAGGTGACATTTATTTCGACCTGATTGTGCCCTGACCATCAAGTCTCCCTTCATGTCGAGAAGTAGGAAGACCAATAGGTTCAGCAACGGCTATATAGTCGGCCACAAAATTACCAATCTCCTCACCCACGATCCCTTGAATCATACTTCCTTCCGGGTGAGCCCGATTCCTTACCTTATTTTGTAATGTACCCATGTGTCTTTCAAAAGGATAGCACCACCTCATGAACACTTGACCGCACAACTTAATCTCACACACCATATGAAGAATAAGATGCACCATTATGTCAAAAAATGAGGGTGAGAAGTACATCTCAAATTTGCACAAAGTCACAACCACATCCGCCTGCAAAGCATCAAGTGTACAAGGATCAAGCACTTTGCTGCATATTGTATTGAAAAATGAACAGAGGCTTGTAATACCTTCCCTCACGTGCTTCGGTAAAATACCACGTATTGCAATTGGTAGGAATACTTGCTTCAAAACATGACAATCATGGGATTTCATACTTGTCAGCTTCAATTCTCCATTTAAGGATACAAATCTTTTCATGTTAGATGCATACCCTGATGGAACCTTAATGTCGTACAGACATGCACAAAACATCCGTTTTTCTATCCTTGACAATGTGTAGCAAGCTGGAGTTAAATAAGTCTTGTCATCCTTGGCTTTTCCCTCATATTTCTTCTTCGACGCATCCGTGGCCTTTCCCTTTTCCTTGCACTTCCCCTTTCCTTTTTTCAAACTCATTTCATCTCCCTTTTCCTGTTCATTTCCCTTTCTAACCTTTTCTTGAGCCCACAATTCTGGACACACCCCCATCTTTTCCAAATCTAACCATGCACCCTTTCCATCCTTTGTTTTTCCTTGAATATTCATCAGCGTTCCCACAAGAGCATCACACACATTCTTCTCTATATGCATTACATCAAGATAATGCCTAACGTCGTGTTCTTTCCAGTACGGAAGCTTCCAAAAGATTAATTCATTTTTAAAGAGAGCAGTTGAGTCCGCAGCTTTTTCTGTTTTCCCAAATACTGTTCGTATACCCTTAACTCGAGCATAAACCTCCTCACCAGTCAATGGCCTAGGCGCAATCCCCTCTTCCGCTTTCCCATCGAAAGCCTTTTTCTGCCTACGGTACGGGTGATCGCGCCTGAGCAACCTTTGAGTCCGCATGTACACCTCTTTGTGACAATTATCAAGGTGTATGCTTGGGGTGTCATCAATAAACATGGGGCATGCTTTTTTTCCTTTGTTCTTGTACCCAGACAAGTTTCCATATGCAGGAAAATCATTAACGGTCCACATAAGAGCTGCACGCAATGTGAACATCTCATTCTTATGAGCATCAAAAACGAAAACCCCTTCGTCCCACATCTTTCTCAAATCGTCAACAAGTGGCGCAAGATAAACATCTATGTCGTTTCCAGGTTGTCTTGGCCCCGTTATTAGTAATGAAAGCATTACATACTTACGTTTCATGCACAACCAAGGAGGCAAATTGTAGATCACTAAAAGTATCGGTCATGTGCTGTGTTGGGTACTAAGAGTGCCAAATGGATTCATCCCGTCCGTGCACAACCCAAGCCTTAAATTTCTGACTTTATCACTAAATTCCCCAAACTTCATATCAATGTTCTTCCATTGCGGGGAGTCGGCTGGATGCTTCAGCATTCTGTTTTTCTTTCTTCCCTCTGCATGCCACCTCAAGTTTTTAGCGTCTTTTGGTATTGAGAAAAGACGCTTAAACCTTGGAATGATGGGAAGATACCACAACACCTTAGCAGGAGGTCCCTTCGTACCAGCATTGCAACTCATGCGCTTGTAGCGCGCCTTCTTGCATCGTGGACACTCCTCTAATTGTTCATATTCATTTCGATAAAGAATAAAATCATTAGGACATGCATGTATCTTCTTATACTCCAAACCAAATGGACACATGAGCTTCTTTGCATAATAGTAAGACTTAGGAATTTCATTCCCGTCAGGCAACATCTCACTTAACAAGGTCAACAAAGAAGTAAAACTATTGTCCGTCCACCCATGCTTCGACTTAATGTTAAACAGTGTTAGCACAGATGATAGTTTAGAGTATTTTTTGCACCCAGGATACAAAGGCTTTTTAGAAGACTCCGATAATGACTCAAACACGTCACCTTCAACACCACGCATCATTTCATCCACCCCTTCATCCTCGACCTCATCCACCTGATCATCCTCAAATCCATCCTCATCACCATTATCA